TGTTAGTGTGCAGCAATATTCCAGCCTAGATAGAACAAGCGACCTGAAGAGTGTCATCATGGGCTTTGCATCCCTAGTTTTGAAGGTTCTCATTATCCATCCTGTCATTTTTCTAGCAGATGCGATTGATACAATGTTATGGTTCTTGAAGGTGAGATCCTCCGACATGATCACTCCCAGGTCTTTGACGTTGGTTTTTCGCTCTATTTTGTGGCCGGAATTTGTTTTGTACTCTGATGAAGTTTTAATTTCCTCGTGTTTACCATATCGGAGTAATTGAAATTTCTCATCGTTGAACTTCATATTGTTTTCTGCAGCCCACTGAAAGATTTGGTTGATGCCCGCCTGGAGCCTTGCAGTGTCTGCAATGGAAGACACTGTCATGCAGATTCGGGTGTCATCTGCAAAGGAAGACACGGTGCTGTGGCTGACATCCTTGTCTATGTCAGATATGAGGATGAGAAACAAGATGGGAGCGAGTACTGTGCCTTGTGGAACAGAGCTTTTCACCGTAGCCGCCTCGGACTTTTCTCTGTTGACTTCTACTCTTTGTGAGGAAATTATAGATCCATCTACCAACTTTTCCTGTTATTCCTTTAGCACGCATTTTGTGCTCTATTATGCCATGGTCACACTTGTCGAAGGCTTTTGCAAAGTCTGTATATATTACATCTGCATTCTTTTTGTCTTCTAGTGCATCTAGGACCTTGTCGTAATGATCCAGTAGTTGAGACAGACAGGAGCGACCTGCTCTAAACCCATGTTGCCCTGGGTTGTGTAATTGATGGGTTTCTAGATGGGTGGCGATCTTGCTTCTTAGGACCCTTTCAAAGATTTTTATGATATGGGATGTTAGTGCTATCGGTCTGTAGTTCTTTGCTATTGCTTTACTGCCCCCTTTGTGGAGTGGGGCTATGTCTGTTGTTTTTAGTAACTGTGGGACGACGCCCGTGTCCATGTTCCCTCTCCATAGGATGGTAAAAGCTCGTGATAGGGGCTTCTTGCAGTTCTTGGTGAACACGGAGTTCCATGAGTATGGCCCTGGGGCAGAGTGCATGAGCATGTCATTTATCGCCTGTTCGAAGTCATTTGGCGTCAGGATAACATCAGATAGGCTTGTGTTAACCAAATTCTGTGGCTCTCTCGTAAAAAAAATCATTTTGATCTTCGACTCTCAGTCTGGTTAGCGGCTTGCTAAAAACTGAGTCATACTGAGACTTGAGTAGTTCACTTATTTCCTTGCTGTCATCTGTGTAGGACCCATCTTGTTTAAGTAGGGGCCCAATACTGGACGTTGTTCTCTTTGTATAGAGAGAACCACGCAACGTTTCGTCCACCAAGGAGTTTGTTTATTGCAATGGTGGGCCAAACATTTTTATATAATGAAGTTATCTAACACTGCATGTCCATAACACATTTGTTGTTTGTGTCATGAAAAGTGGTATTGGTTATTCTACGTTAGGTAAAAGTGTAAATTAACTTATATTCACTGACAGTAACTAACTGGTGGCGTACATCTGGAATTTTGCGACACATCACGGTCCGTCAGTGCGTTGGTATGCTTACGTACGTTGTTTAAGCCTGAGGATGGTCTGCTCCCCGGGGCCCACACCATCACATCGCCACGAGCCAGATGGTCAGTTTGACAAGCAGGTTCTGGAGGCATCAGGGCCGGATTCAGGAACTGTCCAGAGGCGCCACTCTTGTCTGTACCGATATTGGAATGATAGCACATTGGAGACGCGATTTTTTTTTTTACCAGTTAATGGGTTTTAAATGTCAAAAAGTGTTTGTATAAGTAACAACAATCAGTGCAAATCAAAAGTTTTATATGGCCCAAAAAAAAAGTCTTTTATAGTAGGCCGAGGGGGACCGTTGCTTCCCCATGGCCCTTCTCCCCATGGATCCACCCCTATGAGACAGTGTCCATCTCCGCCAATCTCCGGCCAGGCAACGTTGAGACAAGAAGGTCATCAGTCCTTGCCAGACGTCCAAGAAGCTAATACAGGAGAAGAGGCAGCACAGAGACGGGGTATTGTTGGCGGAGGAAGACTTCCGGAGGTGTTGTGTGCCACTGACGAGTCCCAGTGTTCGTCATCGTCGCGGAGGAAGACTTCCGGAGGTGTTGTGTGCCACTCACCAGTCCCAGTGTTCGTCATCGTCGCTGTCGTCTTCGCCGTCGTCGTCATCGTTGCAGTGTTTGTTATCGTCATCGTCGGTAACCAGGGCGTCCTCCGTCTTGCCTGCACACAATACCAGTAACAAAACAGCACTCTTGTGGCAAAAATCTTGCATAGGTTTTTCTTATAGTGGCTGACAGTTGGTTTCTGTACGTCGGGAAATGTGTGTGTGTGTGTGTGTGTGTGTGTGTGTATGTACTCACCTAATTGTGGTTGCAGGGGTCGAGACTCAGCTCCTGGCGCGTGTGCGTGTGTGCGCGCTCGCGTTTACTCGGCAAACTGTGTTTGCTGGAATCGATTCTCAGCTCCTGTCCCCGCCTTTAACCTTTCAATAGCTGACCTTCCTTATCCCTGGCCTCTTTAGCCCCCTCCCCCGTTCATACCTATTCCTAAATGTGTTGGAGTGTATATACCTTTACCGCTCCAGATCCTTCCACCTTCACACCGTGAGATTGAAGAAGTATAACGTTAAGTTTTAAAGGGGTGAACAGGTAAGCCAGCAGAAGGCCTCAGTCAGATGACCAAAGGTTCCAGTAACTGATCATCACCTGACTTAAGACCCGCGTCAGGAAACAATTATCCTGCTTTATGACAAATCTTACCTAACCTTCCATTCCTAGACTCGTCTGTGTTTCTAACTTCCTCCTGCGCCATCTTGTCTCAGTACCTCTCATTTCAGTCTGTCTGTGTCCGCTGTCAAATTATCCTGAGCAGTGGATTAGCTCTTCCCGGGAGGAGTAATTTTGTGTTTTGTCAGGGATGTTTGGGGACTAACTTGCGGCACTGTTGTTTACTTTTAGGTATCCCTGGAGGGATTCCTTAAAATGATTACAAGACTTCTTCCCTTTACTCTACCATAGTATCCTCCATAAATTTCGCTTATAACATGATAAAGCCTCTTTCAGTCTGTTTCAAATTCTCAAAATTAGTGTATTGTAACTAGGACAAGGTTCACGTAATTCTTGGCATGGGATCAATGTCATTTAACCCACAAATAGATTTCAGGAATGGGTACGCAAACTGTCAAAATCCTATTTACAATCAATTTTCAGGTGTCTCGACACTATTACCACTAAGAACAAAAAAAAATAATTTATTTGCGACCAATTTTAAAAAAGTATGTCCGACGAGTCTCTCTCGTGAAGGGATGGATTAATAATAATAATAATAATAATATTATTATTATTATTATTATTATTATTATCATTATTATTATTATAGAATAACGTTAAACCTATAGGTATTAACAAGCGCTTGCTATAAAGCGTTGTGACCCTAACGGATTTAGTGCATTTTTAATAATAAATTAGTCTTTAACCGAGCTCTTACAATTAATCGCTTCCTAACATTAATATAAATATTATTCCTCTCTCTCTCTCTCTCTCTCTCTCTCTCTCTCTCTCTCTCTCTCTCTCTCTCTCTCTCTCTCTCTCTCTCTCTCTCTCTCTCTCTCTCTCTCTCTCTCTCTCTCTCCTCTCTCTCTCTCTTAAAACACCAGATACTATATTGACTCTATCACACACCTGTTAAACAGCATCTTCAATACTCCGTCCATATTCAAACAGCACTTACTATAGAGAAATTAAATCATTATATATTTTGCAGTCACAGTGTATGATTCCCTTTGAGTGTAATTTTCATAATTATTTGTGTTGGCGTCAGGTGGTGAGGACTCCACTAAACACACACACACACATTCACTACTGTTTGGCTGCGCTGGGAAGAGGAAGGGGAATAAAAGGTGTGTTTTTGTATCGAGCTGGGAGAGGTTTCGATTCTTCTTCTCTTACGCCTCTTGAGCTTCTTACTCCTCTTTCTCCTGTGCTTCCTCTTCCTCCTTCGTCTTCTCCTCCTGATTCTGATGTATATAAGGGAATCAAATCTGATACAATATTGAATCAAAGTAATTATTGTCTAATATTAAAAATAAGCGAATTTTTACGAATTACAAGACGCAGGAAATAAGTGAGAGAAGTGAGTAGTGACACGGCGGGAAGGAAGGGATTAAGGAATAAACCAGAGGTAATTGGGATATTAGTTTCCATGTGATAACTTGTGAATGCCTCTTTTGATTGTCTTCAACGGTGATATTTAACTTCATAAAAAGCTTCCGCCGCACTCTGTTCTGTTTCTCGCTGAGGTAGAGGGGGTTGGGCTTATGAGAGACGCAGATATTATCGGATCATTGAGGTAGCATGTACTGGCCATGTAGAATAAGGGAACTATTTTCCCACATCGTAACAACTGATACACAGGTAGTTTATCTTTGGAGGGAGTGAAGAATGCCCTCTTTTGAAGGTAATTGCAATTCTGTTATCTAGCTCAAAGAAGTAACATCTTTGAAAACTCGAAATTTTACTGCTACTAAGAATGTTGTAAATTGTTTTCACATTTCCCTTGATCCTTCTTTCTTCTAAAGTCGTTAGGTTCACTTCTTTGATATCCACAATTAGATAATATATAGTTAATTATGACAAGACTCTTCAGCCTGCTACCAGTAGATACAAGACATATTGTTGGAACACGAGTAGATTTCAAGAAGAAACTGGATTACAACCTCGGCCATGTACGAAATCAAGCAGGTTGTGATGGCTCTGTAGATCTGTAGGCCTTTAGCAACAACTGATCCCAAAAATAAATCAAGGAAGGAATTTCTGTAATATTTGATTTTAGTATGGCGGTGTGCAAATTAAAAGCAGTTCAATAATATGCGGGAGAATAAAATCGTATTTTCTGATTATTTTTCCGTAACAGTAAAAAAAAAAAGTGTTTTGCTACTAGTGCACATGAGCAGCCACAATAATGTTTCTTCATTTGCAGACGCGTGTGGACTGAGTGACCTGTCACACATCGAGGGTCTTCAAGAGAAGTCTCAGTGTGCCCTGGAGGAATACTGTCGGACGCAGTACCCCAA